ATGAATTTGAACAATTGTAGTATCAGGCTGCAACATAACAAAATTGAAAAAAGCGAAGGGGATCTGAATACTTTCCGAATGCACTGTAGGTTGACCAGCTCTGACAGCAGGTGAAAGAAACCATATATCTATCCAGTGAAGAAAGCATATCCAGTCCATTTTCAAATGCAGTGACTCTCTTCCCATCCTTCTCTTTATGCAAATATAATCTAGCTTTCAGTTTCTCACCACTACCTTTCTTCTGTTCGAGCAGTTGAATGCTGTGTTGTCTTCCAACTAGTTAAAACAATGCTCTTAGATTGGGTACTTTCACTTGCCTTTGGAATTCTTAATATCATTGTCCTCTCAAAACTGCTCCCTTCCTGCCCAATTCAGCTTTCTCAATCCAACTATTGGATCACCACTGGAGATGGAGTTGAGAGATGTGGCCTCCACCCTCCCACACTCCTACTTCACCAGTAGCCTTAATGATTCCTTAAGAAGCAACTCTTGGAGTGGAACCCTGGAATGTATACCTTCATTTATCCCATTTTCCTTTCTCCATCACAATCTGAGCTGTAGTTACCTCCTGTGTGGACTAGTCAGGTAGCTGCTTACTGTAAATTGAATTGGGTAGGATATATGTACAAGTCACAAGATCTCAAGTCTGTATATCCCTTTCAGTGGATCAAATACTGTAGCCTGATTTTGCTGATGGTGAGAATCCAGAAAGTGTTTAAATTCCTCACCTTACACAAAAATGGGAAAGGGTAATGAACATGAGGAGGTGGGCCATCTCTCCAGCTTGACAGAGAGCTGGTCATGGAATGCAAGAGTCTTATGTGAGTTTAAGTGTTTACAGTGGACTTTACAGAATAAATAATCAGGAATCTGTCCAAGAAATCATGGAAAATATGGTTCATAAATCATCAAAATCTCAGAATTTTTTTTTGCCAATTTTTAAAATTTTTGCACACCCAAACACAAGTAGATGCTCTTCTTCACCCTTCATGCAACCTGAATTGTCTCAAGGTTCAACTCAACTAATGGTTTCTATGGGCAGTTTGAATGTAAAATCATATATGCAAAAAACTATTCTTAACAACAAAAAAGGTGTATTGGCGTTAAAGAAGGGGCAACTTGAATCTTGCAAATTGACATCAATGAAGTCTTCCAGGCTGATCATCTCAGCTTCTGATGTGACCAAGTATTATATGAGAGCTGCAGCACTGTATGGTCATTTCCCCTCAATGTTTCTGCATATTTCCACTTCCCCAAGTAAGTCTTCCCTATTAGTTAGCATCAGGTGAAGGATCAACTATATTCCAATCATAGGATTTCTCCCAACAGGTGCACCAAGGGATGTGTAGCACCTTGGAGCCGAGAAGGTGCTTTGGACTGAGCATGGATGTGCACACAGCCCCTGTCAGGGCCTCCTTTAAAGGACCTGTGGGATTGCACAGTAGGCTCCAGCAAGGCTGCTCACAACCGAGAAAGAAAGGTGGTCATTGTCTCATTAGTCACATCTATTGCAAGGAAAAAGGGTTTAGGCTATAGAATCTTGGAAACTGGATATGCATTACAGGTGAATATGACAAAGCTATCAGACTATGGTCCCAGAAGCCTAATACAGTATTGTCCAAACTTGGCCACTTTAAGATGAGTGGACTTCAACTCCCAGAATTCCCCAGCCAGCCATTCTCTTTCATTCTGATCCCCATATAGGGACCAAAATATGGATGTTTAGAAAGACAAAGTTCAGATTTCCACTCAGGCATCAAGCTCACTGGGCAATAATGGGGCAATAATCAACTCTCAATCTAATTTCCTTCAGAGGCTTATTTTGAAAACAAAACGGGCAGGGCATTTAAAAAAAATTGGTAAACTATTTCTATGGCTAATTACAGTACCTAATATCACAGTGCTCTTTGGTTACTGGGATAAATACCTAACAAAGTCAGTAATTCAAAAAAACAGTTTGGTGAAACCTTTTATTAAAAGAATTGTCTCCCGCAGCAGAAAGCTTTGGCACTTTGGCACAGTATAAAAATAACCACTGATCATAATCATACCAAATTCTTCTGTCAACGGTATACTAAATGTCTTTAATGTATTTTCTTGTAGAAAAATACAAAAGACATTAAGAGATGGAGGGGGAAGGTATAAAAGGAAATTGATGTTGATAAATAACAGTACGAGATATAAACATACCGCTAGGGAAAAAAATTAGGGTAATTTATAAAGATTAAGACTGTGCATATTATAAATATCACAGTAATAGGATATGCAGTTCCTGTTGAGAGCTGCGCAGTTAAGAGAACATATTTCTTTTTGGATTTTCATTTGAATTTTCATTATTTTCTCTCTCCATCTCTTATGGGCCCATGGATATTTACTAATTGCTGAGCGTTTATTATTAGCAATAGTTGCTTTAAGGAAAATACTGAACAGTATTGAAACACTTTGAGAAAAGAATGGACAGCATATATGTTTCCTTGCTGAAAAGAAGACCTGAAACACATCAAGATGAGTCTCCTTTGGACAAGCTGTGAATTGAGCAAAAGCGGAGAAAGCAGCTGTTGTAAAGCTATCAGATCTGGGCTGGAAAATTCCAGATGACCACCAGATGGCAGGAAAGAATCTGAAGTTTTTTGTACCTCTTTGCTACAAACTTGTGGTCATCCAGATTTTATGAAACCCAAATATGGTAGCTAAAGGCTTTCATCTCCACAAGATAAGATCTGCTTTTTTCTAGCAGCATTTACAGTGATAGTCTTCTTTTTGTTTGATGTTCAAATCTTGATGATTAATCTCCTCGTCGGTTCTGTGCATCCGAGTGTAGATGTAAGGGATAGAAGCATTCAATTGGACAATGGATATTCTGCTGGAGGAAACATGGATAAATAAAATTAGCACTCATAATACTAAAAGACAACAATTATCTTACTGAAATGGTAGACAATCTGAATCTGTCCAACATTCACACTGTAGGCCCTTCATGAAGAATCTTAAAATGACAATTCCAGATCAGAAGGAAAACCCAGCGTGGCTCAGCACCTGCAGCAACCTGAGATTAGATCAAAATACATGTGTGTGGTGACATTAGGATGCAAACTCTGCCCTCGTGTACTTAGATCCCGATGTTTGGCCCAAGCACATAATCACAGACTTTGCATTATGATGGATGTTTTATCACTTGACACCAACGGACACCTATGCCAATGTTATGATGCTTAGGACTCCATGGAAAAGTGCTTTACCTAAAGTGTTTTAAATATTGCATAAACCTCACCTTCATCTAGTTTATATCACTGCAATTCTACTGTGCAGAATGCAAATGGCTCCATACAATTTACCAAAGAAAGTGAAATTAGTTGAACTCTAACACAACTATCTTTCAAATATCCGTCTCTTTGACAGTAAAAGATCTTGGAATCCTAAATATAGTGGAAGTCTATGACAGGCAAAGGCTGCCTGGTTACACAATGGAGTTTACTTATTAATGTGTACTTCCTATCAATCATGCTAATATTGATAGGAACTTGCTTTAGAACGGTTAGCATATATGCTTCAGCATTTTGGCCAGTGGATATGGCAAAGGGACTCTGAGCACAAAAGACAGTGTTTCATATTTACTCTCATAAAGTAGAACATTCCCATTTCACAGAAGGCAAGTGGGTGATATTGTGAGAAACATGCACACAGGTAAGACACTCACCCATAATCAAAAGGACAAAATATGCAAACATAGTGTACGCAGCCATCGTGACTCCAAAGAACATACACCAAACAAAATAAAACACACATCAAAGGAGAGCATACATTTTAAAAGCCTAGCATACATTTAAAAAAAAATATCTACAGGGAAAACATCTGCTCATTCCCTATGATACCTTATCTCATCTCAAAATCGATACATGAGATAAGTG